AGACAGGTGGTACACCAGTGAGACTGATTTCCATTAGGCACATGTGAGAATCTGACTTCATAATAATGGAGCAGGCTTTCTAAATGACTTGCACCATTTAGAAATGGTTTGAACTAGAACAGTCAAATTCATCTTCAGGCTCAACCCTGACACCTCACACATCATCCGACAGGGCCTGGGCTCAATTTTTCTAAGGTCCTTTCCAGATGTAATACTCTGAGCTTTCAAGGTAAAAGTGTCAGGTCACCCAGGAAATGTTCTGGTGCTAGAAAAAACTGAAGGTACCACCTGACTCAATTGTCACTGTCACTTGGGCAAAGGCTCAGGTAGATGTAATGCACATAGCTCTTACTGGCTTCTGTCCACGGCCCACAGAAGGGAAGGCCACCTGACTGGAGTTGCTTAGCTAAGTCATAGCAATTCTGCATTTGCCAGGCTAAGCCAGGGGGAGAAGCAGGTCAGGTATAACCAGCATGTGGCCCAGTCTAAGTGCTCTACAGATTCAGGAGGACCTAATGAGCTTCAAACCCTGCTAAGAGTAGCTCTTTCTAGCTGATAAAACTCTCACACAGAAGAACAAACCAAAATGGCAGAGCAAGAAAAACCCACAGGCTCCAGAGTCTGACAGGCCTGAGCACTTCCCTTCCCTGAGTCTCAGTTGCCTCCCATGGGATGGGATGTAACCACCTGCTACATAACATCTGGTACTTGGTAAGTGTGCATCCCCTACCCTTATGTCATTAAAAGCAAGGTGAATATGTGTGCATATGTGTGTCCTGAGTTCTCTGTTTCCAGATGCAAACATCCTCTCCTCTTCTCTTCCTGTCCTTGCCCCTCTTCAAATCTCCTCCTCCTCCATCCTTCCTGTGGTGGCATCTCTATACCTGTCCTCCAAGTCACCTCTCTTCATTCCTTGTACTTAATCCAAGTCCTGCCGGTTTGACATCTGAGATACATCACTAACTCTACCCATCTCTGCCATCATTTGATCCCTGTCTGTCATCTGATCTATTTGATCCCTGTCACCTCTTACCTAGACTAACTCCTAAAGGTGTTTCTAAACCCTTTCCCTCCAAATGACTCCTCTTCCTCCATCCCCCAGCTTTTATTCATGATGACATCAGCTTTGCCATTGAGTTGCTCTGCACTGTTCCCTCTTCTGTGAATCCTTTCTCTGGCATAAAGGTCTCTTTGATGGATAGCTGGATCCAAGCACTTCTGAGCTCTCTGCTAACCCTTTCTTCCCCTGGCAAACAGAGGGTCAACCAGGTCCCAGGCATAGGGCAAGGCATGGGACACACAAAACACAAGAGACCCTGAGAGTAGGGGTCAGCTAAGAACTGTAACAGCTCTCTACTGGTTGGTCTTGTCTCTCCCTGACCAAGCAATCTTCTGGGATCATCTTTATCAGGTTTAGGAATCTTCTACCACCTGACTCTAGCACTTTTCTAGATTTATCTCCAAGTTTACCTTCCTGACCCTCTGCCTGGCCAAACAGGTCCACTCAAGCTACACAGCCTCTTGGCCATCTGCTGTCCCTGGACAGCCCTCCTGGCATCTCTTTAATCACAATCGATTGAACAAAAACAAATCCTCAACACCAAATAATCATTTCTTTCAACACACTGCTGGGTCTGGTCCCTTCATTTTTGTTATTAAATCTCACACATGGAGGTCCGTTCTCCTCAATCCAGCAGGCAGTTTCTTCCTCTTCCCCATGACAAGAGCAGGCAGTTACATTTTACATTTTCAAGCTACTGAGGTGTGAACACTGGCTCTGCCAGTTCACACAGGGTTTCTGGTGGGGTAGAGATGGACTACTGAGCACACAAGTGAATCCCTACACACCCGTGGATATGGGCGGTCTTTCTGTCACCTTTCCAGTTCCCACACTCTGCTCCAGTGATGTGCTTTCTTATCTCCATCCACACTGAACTGTTCCTTCTCTTGCCTTCTCAGTTTCTTTTAGTGCCAGTCAATTTCCAGTCACTCAAGCACTGGCAAATATCAGCCATTAGTTTTCTTTCTTGCTCAATTCCCATATCCAAATACCCTCAAGTCCTGTGACTTTGACCCCTACCTACTTCTCAACCCTCCCTTCTCTGTTCCAACCACCACAGCCCTGGGTCATATTTGCAACTTTTCTGACTTGAAAGACAGCAACTTTCTCCTAGCTGATTTTCTGGCCTTTGGCTCTATCACCCTCCAGCTCCTCCTATGCAAACCTGATTACTTCTTTGTGGACTAACACTGCTGAGGAGCTGATCCTGAAAACACCTAAGCTCTCTGCCCAGCAAACCTACAAGTACCGTCACTACTCACTTCATTCTTCTTGCCCCGGAAGTATCACAACCCACGTGGCTTCCTGAACAAACTGAGTTGGTCCCACCTCCGTATCTTGGACACTGTGGTTTCTCCATCTTGCAGAGCCCTTCCCACTGGTCTTTGCCTGGGTACCTCCTCCAACCCCTCTTGCCTCACTCTTCCCAGAAGCATTCTGGGATCTCCTGGGCCCACCTAGGCTTTGGTACATCAGCGAGTGCTACAATCACCAGAGTGGCTGAAATGACCTAAACACATCGCATGCACCACTGCACCACTAGCCTCCCCAGAGCCTAGCACAAGGCCTAGGACACAGCTTAAAGCAGGAAGAGTCCTTCAAACAGGAGAGCAAGGCTCACTTCCCTCCTATAGGCTGGTTTCCTTTGGTTTTCCCTTGACCCACAGCCAGCCACTCTGCTGCACTACTGCCATCTAGGGGTAAAAGACCATCACTCTCACCATTCAGCATTTAACTAGATTCAACAAACTGAATGAGATGGGAACACAAATGAGGGAACAGTTGATTCTGGAGGGGGTGGAGGAAGGGTGTCAGTTGGAAGCGGCTTCAAGTGGTGAGTGAGCTAAGCTGGACCATGCAGCAAGAGAAAGAGATCTCCGGGGGAAGAGAACAGCCTTACAGGCAGAGAAAACAACACGGAGGAAGGCTCAGCATTGGGGTCTATGCGCAAAAGAAGTCGGAAAGGAAGAGAGGGGTGGAGTGTGAAGTTAATTGGCATCCCAAGCTAAGGGCTTCAGACTTCATCTAGGAGGCCACTCAAACAGGCCGGAAGAAAAAAATTGCTTTTATCCACCCAAAGACTTTTAATCAGGAAGGACACATTCAAATCTACATCTGCAAAAGGCAACTCTCGATGGAGTGTGGAAAGGGGACAGAAATGAGAAGTAAGAGAAGTGACAGAGCAAGTATCAGAAAGACAGCATTTTCATAATTCTCTCCTTTTCTACTTGCTGCCCCATTTTCCTACAACTCAACACATGCAGACTGAAATTCTGTTCCCTCAAGCCAGTGCTTCTAGAGAAACATTATTTCTCACCACATCTGGGATGTTAATGTAACTCAGCCTCTTCATGGACTTCAAAGTTGCAGCATTTTAAAACACATCCCAGCAGAGTTTTGTACACAGACGTTCAATGGCAACAGAATGGGACTCCCTGAAACACTGCCTCTAGGGGTGCCCTGGGCCTCTGAAATTGTAAGACAGTAAAGTTCAGTGGTTTCGAGTAAGGGCTTTGAGTCAGAAGGCCTGAGTTCAAACCCATCTCAGCCACTTTAGTGCATGACATTCGCCACAACAAGCCACTCAACAACGCCTTGGCTTCTTCATCTGTAAAATGGAAATCATGACAGTACCTACTTCAAGGACTGGAGACAAATGTCTGTGAAGTGTCAAGCACTTGGGAAATGCCTACCATGTTCAGCCATGCACAATGCTAGGGGTTCCCTACACCCTTAAATCTGTACAATACTTTCACCCTTCCCATTTTACAGATAAGACTAAGTAAGGTTCAACAGAGCTGAGTTTGTTCGAAATAATTGGGAGCATCTCCCTGGACATCAGAAGAACTTTTTTGTAGAAGATCATTTAGGTCAGTAGCAGTTTTCACCCGTGGGATGGAGGGAGGGGTATAAGAGCAGAAAGACCCCCCCCCATACTCCCTCAGGACATCTGGCAATGTCTGGAAATATTTTTGATCCTCACAACTGGGGCGGGGAAAGAGATGTTGGTAATATCTAGTGGATAGAATCCAGGGATGCTCTTCAACTTCCTACAACGCACAGGGCAGCCCTCCACAAGCAAGAATTACCTGACCCCAGTTGTAGGAGTGCCCAGGTTGAGAAACCCTTGTCTAGCCAGATAGTCTTCCCCATTTTACCCGTTCTGGATTAATCCCACATAAACACTTAACATAATGGGGTCTCTGTCGCTCCAGGGACGCCTCGTGCAAAAGTTCTTCTCCACCTGCCCTACACACAGTAGGTATCAGAATCCATTTTAATAAACCTATCAGCACTAGATACCGGAAAAGGAAGACCGTCCGTCCCCCATTGTTCAACTGCGTGTACTTTCGTATTTTCAACATACACATTTTACAAATTCAAATATTACACTCCCTACTAACAGCTTTGATAGAGACGGCGATAATATATACATATTTTTTTCCTTTTCTAGGACTCCCTTACGTACCAAAGGGCTTGCACACTTTTAAAAGGACCTCGGACCGGCCGCGGCGCTCTGACAACGACCACAAAAGAATCTAGGATTTCCCGAGAGCGAGCCCCTGGGCTGTGACCTCTGCGCGCTCAAGACGCTCACCCCATTCCCCGCCTCTGGTTCTACCCTCCCGCCCCCGGATCCAGGGCCTCTAAGACTACCGGGGCCCCGGCAGCGGAGCCCGGCCCCAGCCGCGTGCCCACGCCGTGTCCCCCTCGCCCGCCCCTCGCGGCGCCTAAGGAATCTGGCCCTGGGTCTGACGCCGGCCCCCTCAGTGGCCGGCTCCCGCCCGCCCGCCGCCGCGGCCCGCGCGCGTCCCCTCCCGGCCTGGCGCGGCCTGGGCCTCAGCCGGTGCAGGCCCGCGGGCACCCGCGGCCCGGCTAGATGAGCTCAGGCTTGCCGCGGCCTACTCCGTTGGATGCCGCCGAAGGCTCCCTGCCTCACCTGGACGCAGGCGGGAGGGCCCGGGACTGCTCCGGGGCGGGCGGGCGGCGGCGGCTCGGCGATAACGGCTCCGTTCGGCCTCGGTAGCGGTGGCGGTGGCGACGGCGACGGCGGCGGCGGCTCCTCCTCAGCGCGCACGACCCGCTCCGGCCCGCGGCCCGGACACGCCCCCCCGGCGCGCGCGCCCATTGGTCAGCGTCCACTACGGCGAGCTGCTCATTGGTCGATGAGGCTGTCGCGGCACCCTGGAGTGCGCGGCGGAGGCGGAACTTCCTGTCTGCGCAGCCTGCGGAGGACTAGGCGGCCGGCGGAGACGCTGGTGGCCAGCGATGGCCGCGGAGTGGGCGAGTTGGGGCCTGGCCTAGAGAGGCCACCTGGAGGCAGCAGCCGAGGAGCGACGCTCTTTGTCGGACGCATGTTGTGTGTCCCGCACCTGCCCGTCGCTGCCTCTGCCCAGCAGGATAGGAGCGATCTGTGCGCCAAGGCTATGAGGACAGAACCCGGGTTCGAATCCCAGCCCCGACGTTTGCGCACGCCGTCACCTCGCCTGGCCTCAGTTTTTTTATCTGGAGCGGTGAGGAGGCGGGGCATGGGACGTGGTCGGCGCTCCAGCAGTAGTGGCTATTACAGCAAGTGAGTTTCCATGGCTCAGCCTCCCCTTCATTCATTAAAATTTTATTGAGCACCTACTGTATGCCAGTCACTGGGCAGTGAACAGACAAACAAAAGCCTGTCTCATTTTTGAGCTGACATTCTACGCCTGTATTGTCCAGCAGAAATCCAAGCGAGCCACAAATTTGCCAGCTACATATACAAATTTAAATTTATTAAATTATGGGCTGGGAAGTTTAGCTCAATGGTAGAGCTCTTGCCTAGGATACCTAAGGAGATTGCAAAAAAGAAGAAAAAAAGTTAAGCTATTAGGTGTGTTTTTAAAAAGTAAAAAGAAGCAGATGAGGTTAATTTTACTAATCTATTTCAAAATAAGAAGTTACAAGATCTTTTACATTTTTCCCCATTTCCTTTTGAAATATAATGTGTACTGTACTCTCAGATTGGACTGACAGCATTTCTAGGACTCAACAGACACATGCTGCCAGTGGCACTACATTGGACCATGCACTGACTGCTACATGGGGAGGCAAATGAGAAATCAAATGGATTCCACCCCAAGTGGTGAACAGGATAAGAAGAAAAGTAAGTTGGGGAAAGGAAGGGTTGTAATTTGAAAGAGGGTGGTCGGGAAGGTTGAGAAGACAGCATTTGCAAAATGATCCAAAGGAGTTGAGAATACTAAATAATTATATTCTGCATTGTTTAGGAGAACTTGCCAAGATGATGGTCATGTTCTATTTGAGCATTGTCCAATTCAGCCTCTGGGTCAGTGTTGCCTTGGGGCACTTGACAATCACTAGTGCCACTGAAGAACTGAATTTTTAGTTGTATTTACAAGTTTTAAATTCTAAATAATGATAATTTACTTTTTTTTAATACATGATTTCACTATTTAGCCCAGAATGATCTCCAACTCAAGAGCCTCTTGCTTTAGCCTCCCAGTTGCTGGGATTACAGGTGCAAATCACAATGCCCAGCCAATTATTTTAAATTTAATAGCCACGTAGGGTTAATGCCTCCCATAGTGGATGGCATAGGTTTATTAACAGTGGTAGTAAGTGTTAAAAAAATTTAGCATATGTTTTGTGCAAAATTCTTTATGTACATTTTCCCAGTAAAATCTTAGAAGTAGCTCTGGAAGAAATGAGAGCTCTATGGCCAGGCCAGGTGTGATGGCTCATGTCTGTAATCCCAGTTACTCAGGGAGAGATGGAGTTCCAAGGCCAGCCCAGGCAAAAAGTTAGTGAGACCTCATTTTAACCAACAGGCCAGGCATTGTGGTCCATATATATGTTCCCAGCTATAAAAGAGGTATAGGTAGGAAGATGGAGGTCTGAGGCCTGCTCCAGACAAAAAGTTGAATCCTACCTAAAAAATAACTAAAAGTAAAAAAGGCCTGGGGGTGTGGCTAAAGTGGTAGAGCCATTGTTTAGCAAGCACAAGGCACTGAGTTCAAACCCCAGTACCACAAAAAAGAGAGAAAGAGAGAGAAATGCAAACTATAATCCCTGTTGTCATGATAAAGAATGGAGTCTTTAGGCCAGGCCCAGTGGCACGCATCTGCAGTCCCAGCATTCAGGAGACAGAGGCAGAAGGAGTTCAAGGCCAGCCTGGGCTATATAGAGAGATGTCTCAGAAAAGAAAACAGAAAACAAAAAGTGAAGTCCTTCATTCATTCATTCATAGATTTTATTTTTTAGAACAGTTTTAGATTTATAGGAATATTGCAAAGATAATAGAATTACCAGTCCCTGTTAGTAACATCTTTTATTAATATATTTGTTATAATTAATGAGCCAATATTGATATTTTGCTGTTATTAACTAAAGTTAATACTTTATATAGACTTTCCATGTTTTTTCTATAACGTCCTTTTTCTCTTCCAGGACCCCATCCAAGCTACCATGTTATACTTAACTGTCCTGTCTAGTCTCCTCTTGGCTATAGCAGAGTCTTGGACTCTGCTTGTTTGTGATGACCTTCACTGTTATTTTTAGGATGCTCCTCTGTTGGAATTTGTCATGATAAGACTGTGATGATGGGCCATTGGCAGAAAAACCAAAGAGGTAAACTGCCATTTTCATCCTATCATATCAAGGTATATCCAGTCAATAGTATTGTTTGTTTGCTTGTTTGTTTTTGCAGTCCTGGGGAGGGGACCCAAGGCCTCGAGCATGCTAGGCAAGTGCTCTACCATTTAGCTACACTTCACCGCTTATTGTATACTTTGGAAGGAAGTCACTGTGGACAGCCCACATCTAAGTAGTGAGAGTTTATGCTCCACCTCCTTAAGAGTGGTTAGCTACATAATAAATTATTTGAGCATAAATCTTCTGCATGGGAGATAAGTCTCTCCTCTTGCATTGTTTAATTAGATAATTAACTCAATCATCTAGTTATGTCAGTGTAGACTCTGGATGTTTATCTTATGCTTTTGATTCTAACCCAAGACTACTTTATTGTCTTGCTCAAACTATTTTGACTTTGGCCAGCTGCATATTTTTCATTTAGCTCTTACAGCCCTTGAAAAACTCCCTTCTGTGTTTTCTGATGTTTGGTTTTTTTGGAGCACTTCCTTATTCTCTGGTGTTGAAGACACTGCAGGCTCACCTTGTGTACTTCCAGCCACAGTCATGGAAGCAGCCATTTCTCCAACAGACTGTGGTTCTTTTTATCAGAGAACAGTAGAAATTGAGATCTAAGTGGTGGTGTTTCTCTTATATCATCAATGCAAGTGTGTGTGCATGTATGTTGCTGGGGATGGAACCCAGGGCCTCATGCATGCTGAGCAAATGCCCTACCACTGAGCTACAGTCCCAGCCCTAGTCAATACTTTGCAACAACTCACAGTGCACCAGGTGAGGGCACTAAGCAACAAGGAAATAACCATGTGCAGTACTTGCCCTCGGCCTCGTGGAACTTAGTGTCAATCTATGAGGACATGCTTAGTACAGCAGCTCCAACAGTAATTAGTTGTGCAGCCTTGGAAAGTTAATATCTGAGCTTCAGTCCCACCCCCACCCCCCACATCCTCCCCCCACCACCCCACCCCTGTAAAATGGGTATGATTATAATACTTCCTGAGGCACTGTGAGAATTGATGAAGTGACCCATTTTTAGAAACTCTGGGTCTATAGCCATACCAGTCTCTTTTGATCTCAGAAACTAAGCAAGATCTGGCCTGGTTAGTATTTGGATGAAGAAATTGTGGAACACAGCCTGGCATAAGGTGCATATTACACATCTTGTTCGTTTCTTTTTTTAACCCTTTGGTGCTAGAGAGAGAACCCAGGGTCCTAGGCATGCTAGGCAAGTGCTCTGTCACTGAGCTACATACCCAGTCCCACATCTTATTCGTTATAATAGTAATAATGAGTTACACAAATGGTTATAATCTGCAGAGGTTCAGAATACCACAAAAGCATGGGATAGGAATACTCAACCTCATTTTGGGGCATCCAAAGAAGGCTTCCCATGTCAGCACTGTTGCAGCTAAAGGCACAAGAGAGGGATACTATTTCAGACAGAATGAATAGCATGTACAAAGGCCCTGAGGCAGGCAGAAGTCCAGCAGACTTAGGGATTGAGAACTGGCCGGCTGTGGAGACATGGATTGACAGGGCCTGGTTGGCTGTGATGTGTTGAGACGTGATCCTGAAAACAAAGGAAGTGATTAATCCCAATGCACACAGCAGTGATTTGAATTTAAGATATGCTTAATTTCAGATCTTATTTCCCAGATTGAAATTTGAGATAGCAAGTTCTTGTTTTCTGCTTTGTTCTTCTGGTCAGAAATGTAGTTTCGATCCTCAGGGGGAGGAGTCAGAGGACACTCCAGCCAGGGTTGTTTCAGGTTGTTCTTGCTGTTCCTCCTCCTAGCACAAACTATCAAGGGTCCATAAGGTCAGAAGACAAAGAGATGACTCAGTGCTGGTCCCTGCCCTTGAGGACATTGCTGCCCTGAGGTAGGCTTTTCACAGTGAGCAGTGTCTGATTAGCATGCTCGCTCAAGGCCCCCCTAAAAAATCAAGGAGGGTCTGCCTGTCAGAGAAGGGGTGGAGGGAGGTGTTCTAGACAGAGGCACAGATTTGTTCAGGAGAGTTGTTCCAGGTCAGAAATGCAGGTAGTAAGGAAAGAGGGCAGTTAGACAACACTGGAGAGGTGTTTGTCCCCAGGTCAGAGAAGTTGGAATATAACCTTATAGATGAGGTGCCAGCAAACGATTACCCAATTCAGCTCATGCCTGTTTTTCTACAACCTGTGAGATAAGAATGAGCTCTACATTTTTACATGCTTAGAAAAACCCAAAAGAACAGTAGTAGTGTGTGATGTGAAAGTTGCACAAAAAGCTAGAAATCCATTGGTGGGTTAATCCATTGAGGTCAGAACCCTCATGAACCAGTCACTTCCCCAAAGCTCCACCTCTGAACACTGCTGTTTTGGGGAGCAAGACTTGAAGACATGAACTTTCAGGGGACTTTTCACCACCA